AGAGTTAGAAAAAAAAAGGCTATTCAAGAAAGCTGGTACATACACATCTTTTTTTGTGTGTGTGATGCTACAGTGACTGCAGAAACAGCTCCTTAAACCAGGATTGCAGGTGTGATTCATCCATTAAGGGGCCAGGTAATAATCAAATATACATCTTAAAAATCTGGAAGTTAACATTACAGCACTACTTAGGCAACAGAAACTACAAGCCAAGTGCTGGAGAGAGTCCATTTGGGCCTCATGGTTCAGGCAGCAGCAGGAAGTCAGTCAGTCAGTCTGCGTGCTACCTCTCCTAGAAACTGTTTAGCACAAAGCTTGGCCAGCTGATGCTGTTCCTTAGCTTTACTGGCTCCAGGAGAAGATGTAGGAATGCCCCTATTCCCCCCTTGCTGCTTTCCTATCTAGGAATTTTCTCAGCTGGGCTGGCCTGGAATCTGCCTCCATCCTTGTGTCCTTCTTGACTTGCAGTGGGTGAGGGGCTGCGTTAGTGCCTTGCGGTGGCTCTGCAGGACTTGAACCGTCTCTACTGTCTCCCTTTGGGGACCACTGCCTGGGTGGGTGAGTGACATTCCCTGACCCTGCTGAGGGAGCTTCTCACTGTCGCCTTCTCATCAGCCTGCACCCAAAATCTGCCCCAGCAGATGCTACGTATGAGCAGATACATTCAGTCTTTGTGTAGTGCTTTTCTGCTTCACCCAGGTTAACTGCTCCTAACCTGCTGTTGCAGCCTACAGCAAAGGCTGGGGCAGGGAGTGCTGCAGGAAGCAGCGCTTGGAGCTGGGGCTTTGGAATGGCAAGTAGCTGGAAAAGACTACAGCTGTGCCTTGGGGTTGCTCATCCTCTCCCACTCCCACTAGTCACTTTTTGGAAAAAAACTTTCCTGCCCTATTTTAGAACAGCTTGGCATGAAACTGCAGTAGCAGTGTGTATGCCTCCCTTCTGGCTGATTTAGAGCTGAAATCAGGCACCCTTCAAATGGATTTTGTAGGGACCTGGAAAGACAAGAGCCAACCCTAAATATCTCCAGACAGGTAACAATTCATCTTGGCTGCCTAGAGGCCTTGGGGTTGTAGTAGTCAGAGATAAATCCCTTCTACTTTTTGAGGTTAAAAGCAATTTTTCTCATCAGATTAGATCATCAGTGAAGGGTTTTGAAAATGTCTGCTTGTGAGGCAGTTCACAGCATCACTCTGGAAACAAGCCAGCACGTTTGTGCCTAGCTAAGGCAGGGTTCGAAGCTGTGACTCAAGTGGTCTCGCTCCAGCGTGTGGTGGTATCCAGCCTCTTACTCTACCCTAAGCACTAGGGAACAACATGTGTGTGTTATTTTCCTCACCCTCTGAAATCAACCTGTAGCAGTTCTGGGAAAACTTCAAAAAGTGAAGCCGAATGTTGCAAACAGAAGTATCCTGTGTAATAAAAGTACGGTCAGGGCCATGGCTACTGTTTGAGTAATCAAAAGTGAGGAATATAATACCCTGCACGTGAAAAGCATTGTATCACTTAAGGACAGGGAAGGAAAAGCCTGCAGCAATAAACTGAATTAAAATGAAAAGCTGGCTGTCTGAAGCACCTTAATACAACACTGGACTGCAGTGACACTACTTAGACTATGGGGAAAGCTGGTGCATTCCAAACAGTTTATTTTGAATGTTGGGTTTAGCTCAGAATCAGTCTGGGACTGGAAGACCAGCTCTTTTTCTGCGTAGGATACCAAGCAGAGCTGGAGCTTTCCTGAAATGCAGTTCAGAGTGAGTGGCCATGTTTATGTCTTCACAGACTCTGCCCGTTCCCCATGGTAGCTAGTGTAAATGAGTCACTTTAACTGCTTTCTAGAAAAAACATCAGTGCCTTGTAGCGAGATATTCTTGATATCTAAATATTCCTGTCAGCTGCCTCTCTGAAGGGCTCTGATCCTGGTGCACATGACAGTGTAGCCACACAGGTTGTACCAGCAAAAAAAATCCTAAGTTTCTGACTTAGATCTTGCTGTGGTGGTTAACAGTAAGTCATTTCTCTTTAGCCAAAGACAGCCCATAGCCTCTTGTGTGGAGAGTGTATGTCTAGAACTGAATCCTGGCAGTAGCTGGAGTAAGAGCTCTCGTTTTTTGACTGCTACAGATACAAAGTCCCTGACTGAACAGTTGTCAAATAGAGGGTTTTTTTTTTTTGTCTCAGGAACCATGTCACGCACTTGCTCAGCATTAAGCAAGAGTTAAATTTTTAATATCACCACTTTTCCTCACAGGAGCTAACCCTTCTCTGCTCGAAAGGCTCAGCAGCCAGGCCAGGAGAGCTGCCGAGGCAGTTTGCACCCTGCAGATTCTAGCTGTCACTCACTGCTGTCTTTGTACAGGTATTCCTGGACCGGCTGCTACTTGCTGCAGTGCCAGTGACAGGGCTGGGCTCATCTCTCACAGTGCTTTATTTATGTTTGCAGAGATACAAGGCAGCAAGGCATCGTGCCACAGCTGCCTACTCCGAGGCTCCTGTGCATTCCCAGGGCTCCAGCTCCCAAGTGCTGGATGATCAGAAACAGCCTCCTGCTACAGCTGTTAATGCCAGCAAGAAGATGCACGCAGACCGTGGGGTAGGCAAGGAAGGCACAGAGCTGTCTGCAGTGCAAGAAGCAGCTCCGTGGGCTCCAGAGGGTAAGGATGAGCTGGCCACCTCTGTAGCAGAGGACAAAATCCTAGCCAGTGAGACTGATGACATGTGTGGAGTCCCGGTTGTAGAAGAAGGAAATCTCCAGGAGGAGAACGAGTCCACTACCACTAGTGCCGATTTCTTGTCCTTTGAAGAGAGCAGCACCACAGGGGAGCTGTTGGGACACGCTGGGTGTGAGGAGGAAGGCGGAGGAACAGACAACTGCCAGGATGCAGGGAGCGAAGGGGCGTTAGAGCGGGACGAGGCAGCGTACGCGGGCCAGGAGGAAGCTGCTGAGCCTTCCTCCCTCGCCAAAGGGGAGGCAGCCGCTCTCACCGCTGCTGGGTGCAGGCGCTCCGCTAGGCGCAAGCCCAGATAGAATGGCCTTACGGGGAGAGCCCTTCACACATGATATTTGCTGGAAATGTTTATTTTCGGAGTCTTTTAATAGAGCGAAAACCTTCAACTTTACTGCTGTTTTTATTTTAAGAATAAAATAAGCCTGGCTTTAGCGTGTCTAATACAGGATGGTGTTCATTATTGCTTGTACAGGTGTGATGCGGTAGGACTGTGTAAAGACTGAGGCTTGGGTTATTGAATCTGAAACATTCAATAGGTGATGTGACCTTCACAGAGACAAGGTTCAGAAGTTAGATGTATAGAGTCTGTCTTTTTTTTTAAATCTCCCTTAAGAATCCTCTGTAGCTCCTCTCTTTCCTTTTTCCAGGCAGAAGAGTAGCTCATCTCTTGTAGATGTCTAATTCTGCACCTCAGACCAGCTGTATTTCACGGGTGCACACTCCTGGACCAGAACTGTGTGCTGGGCACACAGGCAAGAAGCTAGGCAAGAATATGTATCTTGGTCATCTGTTAACAGTACAAAACTTAAAAAAAGAGAGTCTGTTTCAGTGAAACACATTTTGTTTCAAACTTTTTAATAAAACTTTTTTTTTTAATAAATAAGTTTAACTTCCCCAAAAAATTCTAACTGTACAAAAGTAGAACAATGTAATAAGACCCCCTTCACGATGTTGGCCCCAGGCCCTCTTGACAAGTTCACAAGGTTTCAGACCATACAGCTCATGCCTGCTCCTGTCAAAATGCCCACTGCTGGTCACAGCCCATGGCAGGCAGGGCCCTTCAGGCTACAACTACTGTAGGGTGGGAGCTAACCAGACTGAAACCTTAACGGCAGCTTAAGGAGGTAGGTAACTACCCCTGATGACAGTCAAAACCATCACACTGGTGCCTTGCCTCAGCTACATGGAAGGGGGTAGAAAAGCCTGGTCTGAGACATCTGCCAATGCTTCTTACATCACAACCAATGTGAACCTTGCAGAACAGGTGAATGGCAGAACACAACCACAGGAAGGGACATGTAACGGGCAGGAGATACTCTTCAAGTTTTACATTAAACCAGTAACCGCTAACTGTCCCCCAAGTGATACCACGTGACAGTTGGTGGCTTTGCAGCTAGGTAGCAGGCTCTGACCCCTGCATTTCGTCTCCCATGTTCTGCTGCTCGCTCTGCTGCTGGAACTCCAGGCGGGTCTGGCGGTTGGACTCCAGCAGCTCCTTCAAGCAGGCGTGCAGATAATCATTCTTCTCCTCCAGGTGATCCAAGCAAGAGTTGATCTGGTCCAGCATGTTGTTTATTGCTGCATATTCTAAAGGGAAGGGACAGGAGAGGCTGAACAACCTAAGTACTGTGACTGCAGCCAGTTGAGGCAGCAAGAGCTCCTGCCGAACATGCCTACAGCATTTGGGCCATGCATTAACCTGCCTCAGGTTGGCTGAAGTAAAATGCAACCCAATCCTGCCTGAATTGCATTCATTGATCAAATGAGACCATGAGGAAAGTAGGGCTGGTAACACGATCTAAGGCACAGAACCTGGGCACAGTGGAACACAGTCCGGGCAGCTCTGACAGCCTTTGCTCTCTTGCACAAATTTCTGGTCCCAGGCTCAGGGCTAGTGTGCAGGGATTTGCACAGCAACAGAAATAAATCCCAAGGACACGTTTGCCTTTTTAGCAGCCTTAGGGATCATCTTCCTTTAGGAGGCTGCAAGCATTTTGGCAGCAGATCAGAGAGTTTACATTCTGTAAATTACTTGTTTAAAGCCTCTAGGCTGAGATACATCTCACAAGGGCCTGGTTTTGGTTGGACAGCCACACAGGAAAGCCATTACTGTGGCACAAGGTGGAATGAGACCTAAAGATGCGGAGCAGCCACCCCAGTTTCCACAGTGAAATAACTATGAAGCACCCAGTCCAACCACAGCACTGTCATACACCATTAAGACTTGGGGTATTTCAGGTTAAAACCAGAAGAAAATTCTTCAAAATGATCCTGTTAAATTTATGCAACCTTATAGATGAATCCGATAGTGAAACTGGAGCAGGTTTCCTAGATATTTAAGCTTATTCTTTCTTATTTAAAGCATTTAAGTATGAAATTGTTAGCCTTGATACAATGGCATTTCACAGCAATGTGCATTAGTTCTGTTAATAGATAAAGATAGCAGTGTTGTTGTGATAAAACACTTGCTTTCAGATTGCTCTAGGCAACATCCATGCAATCTTAGAGAAAAACAAAAAGCCACTCTGGAAAACCAGACAAGATAAAACCTCTGCTGACAAGTTACTGACAAGTAACTCTCACAGGGAGTGTAATTCTCTGGCAAGAGCTGAAACCTCACAGGGGTTACAGGAGACCTGGGGCAGCACCAGTCCCTCGCTCCCTTCGGAAGAGGCGCGGGCTGAGCGCGGTGGATGGGCTGACGTGTGGGGCCTGCGCGAGCGCGACAAGCTCACAGCCCAGCAGCGGGGCTGCCTGTTCTCCAGCAGGCTCCTCGGAGCAGCCGGGACAGCGTTAGTGCCAAGCGTAACGTGCACAGAGAGACGGGAAGGGCGCTCCGAGCGAGCGGAGAACGCGGAGAAAAGCAGGAGGGACTGTCTGAGCACCCCTCTGACGAGCTCCGAGGGTAAGGGCTGAGCCATTCCGAAAATCCATGTGTGCATCAGCTTTCCCCCCCAGGCAAGGCACCCAGAACCCCTAGCACACACCAGACCCTTAGGAATGAAGTCCATGGACTTTATCATTTTGTAACTGATGTCACACCAAGCCCATAGACAGTGATTCAGGTCTCAAGTAGACATATACTGAGGTGGGTAAGAGGACCTGGCAGATTTTTACTGGGCATGATTTGCCTGTGGTTAATAATCGCTGGTCTGTGCAGCTGTGCCACTTCCGAAAGTGGATCTTACAAGGAACTAAGTCTGGGAGCAGGTCAAGAAGGAGAAGAGGGGAGAGTGGTAGAGCTGGATGCTCTTCCAGAGAATCACTTCCACAGTTTACAGTAAAACGGTTTTTAAAATAGCTCTTAATACTTAAATAGAACAATAATTTGTATTACTAATAGCTGTGGAAGAATTTCAGTGTGAGAGAGTTGTCCTCCTTCTCTTACGCTACTTTGAAGGGGCCATTCAGAGCAGTGCTGGCAAGAACAACCCACAGGAACCCATTTGAGCTCTGCTGTTTCCTCATTCTTGCCTACCTGGGCAGGGCAGTATCACAGATTTCATGCCCAGGAAGTGCAGTGGAATTTGCCAAGCTGAGCACATTAAACAGCAGTTTTTCCACCCACGACTGCTTCATCCAGATCTGCCCACGTGTAGATCTCCTAAGGGCTCAAAATCTGAATATCCGTTTCCTTGGCCAGCGTTGCTCAAACACTAAAAAAAGCACCGAATAAACTTATTTTACAGGAAAAAATAACAACAATCAAGAAAAAAAGGTCAAAAGTAACATGTGAGAGCTGCCATGGCGCCAGGGAGGAAGCATCAACTCCGTGCGCGGGGCTGCCGAGAGCATCAAGGAGCCCCGGCAAGTGCTGGGTCTGTTTTTTAAAAACACCTCGGACCCGGAGCTCGCCGAGAACCGTTAACGCCCAAGGCAGCCCCGGCAGCAGCGACAACCCCAGGAAAAGGCGTCTCCTCTGCGCAGTGCGAACACCCCGCGGGGAGCGGCGGGGACGCGCAAGGCCGGGCAGGGCGGCCTGGCCAC